CTATGATGCAAATGCTCATTGTGAGTTTCATAAGGGCGCTCCAGGTCACACCATTGAGAACTGCAGAGCTTTCAAGCACATAATTCAAGACATGATCGACAGGGATGCTATCAACTTCAACGGAAAGTCTCCAAATGTCATCAACAATCCAATGCCGCCGAACAAATAGCGTTAATCAGATCAAATCCAGTCAAGTCAAAGTTCATTTCCCCGAAGAAGGCCGTCATGTTTCCATTTCATCTTACGCATTTCTTATGTTTTGTCTTTGTTTTGTTTAAGTACTGTATGCTTTGAACAATTGCCATTCGTATCTGGTTTCATTAATGTATCGTTTATGCATGTTTTGAATTAGTTATGTCGTATTCACTCATTTTTCACTTATCACCGACACGTTTATTCACTCCACTCTATTCACTGTTGTTTAGCATGATTTGAGGGAGGATGATGAAAATGAAATACCCATAATTGCAAACCGTATGCTTTCAGACCGAATCTCGTCAATGATGTACATGCATTGTTTCAATTCCCCATACACCGGAGACATAAGGAGTTAATCCCTAGTAAACCACTTCGAGCCTAGAAGTAGCAGTTTCCTTCGGATATTCAAACCTTACACTTAACCCGGGGCAGAGTAGTGTTCAGTTAATCCAACTCCGCACTCGAATCAACAAAGCAAAATCCAGAAGACGGTTGTTCATCAATGAACTATATTATGGCAGTCACAATCCTACAACAAAATTCAAAAAAATCAAAAGCCTGCTAAGTCAAACACCTCAGAGGGGACTTAGGCAAAATCAAGGCAATCCCGATGGATCTGACAAGCAAAGTCAATCCATGTAAAGTTAGGGATTAAAACAAAAGCAAAAGAGGACCCCGAAACCCTCAACAAAAACAAAATGAGATATAGTGGCCACCCGAATCAAAAGGGGCACTGACATCCATCAAAAAACCAAAATAAGGTGACTGCCACGTCGAGCAAATCTTGAACCTTAAAGCTTACACCGTCCAGACTTGTGTAGAATTAACTGAGCGTAGGACTGGAGATCATTAAGAAGAAGGGGTGGGTACAAATCATACTTTGAGCCTAATATCCTTTGTTTCATAACTACGAACCAGACCACGTTACAACCCTCGAAAGACCTAATTGAGGCGGGATTTATTCTGAAAGCATACTTTCGCAAGGTTGCGTAACCTGACTCCTCATATGATTTCTAATCATCAACATTGGTGTCATTTCTCTTGATATATTTCACACCAATCAAAATTAGCACAACATCTGGTCTAGTAGTCCATTCGTCTCACACTTTCACAACACCTCAATAAATGACACTTTTTCGGAACTTACATTGAATTGTGCATTAATATTACCATTTATGAATGTACAATTTTAATTGCAAATCAGTGCTAGGTATTCAAGGACATCTCAACAAGGGGCAATCAAGGAAGACTTTAACTCCTAGTGGCCGACACGAAGCAAGATTACCTCAGAACCCACAGGCTGGGGCAAATCACTCAACAGCTCGAGCGGGGGCAAGTCATCTGAGTTCAACTTCCATATGTCAGACCTGGTTAATCTAGGGCGGACCAGTTAACGAGTTTAGACTGGGGCAAGACCAGGTCATCCTGACCATCAAGTAGAGTTGCAACTCTCTCTGAAGCAAATTCACAATCACCAAATATCCCAGACTTGGGGCATCAAGGACATCTTCTGCTCCAATCATGACATCTTCAGCAAACGGCGTGTCGAGGAAGTCAATCCCTCCCACCACCCAAAGTCCAATCCACATTGGCAACTACCAGAGGCCACCATGCTGGCGTTTCTACCTGCATTTCCAATCACCCTTCTGCAATCATATGCGTCTTACGCATCGCATCCCTCATAAGCATATTGCATCATATGCATACCCAAATCATATCATACTTCCCTAGCTCTTGCATCTCCGCGCGTCAGCATTTGCATTTGCACTTCCACTCATATGGAATATCAGTTATCATCCAGCATTCATATATGCAAGTCAAGGTCCAGGATCAATCTCGAAGACCTCCAAGACTGTCATCGGCCCAGTCAGGGGCATCCTCCGCAGGATTGTGGGTTTGTCCCACAATTTTCAAGAGCTTCAAAGTAATCATCAGCCCAGTCAGGGGCATTTTGTGCAAGATGGTGGGTTTGTCCCATGAGTTTCAAGAACTTCAAAGCAGTCATCAGCCCAGTCAGGGGCAATCTTCTGCAATTGTAGGTTTCTCCCAATTCAAAGACATTCAAAGCAGGATTCAACCCAGTCAGGGGCGTCTTTTTCAAGACCATGGGTATCTCCCATGACGTATTTCAACCTCGTGGTTGATCAGATCTTCAAATCAACATTCATCCCAGCCAGGGGCATACCATTCATGACCGTGGGCGTTCCCCACGAAGATTGTTCAACCTTTTGTTGGGCAAATCCAAGAAGTTTAATGCAAGATCCATCCCGAGCAGGGGCATCTTCAGCAAAACCGTGAGCGTACCTCATGAAGTTGTTCAGCCTTTTGTTGAGCAAGACAAGACATCAAGACAAACTCCACCCAGTCAGGGGCATCCTCTTTAGAATTCATGGGCGTAACCATGAAATCATTTCGGCAAAGCTATGATCTCCAAACAAGACGGCGGGCGTACCCCGTTGACTCATTTCAATTCAATCTTCCTCTTGGGGGTTCCCCAAAGAGTTGTACCCAGCAAGCGTGACCGTTGTCAATTGCCTTACTATCATCCTTTTGGTGATAGCCGAACTTCGTCGGTTCAACATAGCCTGCATCCTTTTGGTGTTGATAACCTTCAATTAGTGTTTGCCCTATCATCCTTTTGGTGGTAGTGGCCGGTGTGAGTTTCGCTCCGTCATCCTTTTGGTAGGGGGTCTATCGTAGTCATTAGCGATAGATTGTGCGATAGTTGGTTTGCGTTTTGCTCCGTCATCCTTTTGGTGGGGGGGTCTATCATAGGCATTAATGATAGATTGTGCGATAGTTTGTTTGTGTTTCGCTCCATCATCCTTTTGGTGGGGGGTCTATCATAGTCATTAATGATAGATTGTGCGATAGTTTGTTTATGTTTCACTCCGTCATCCTTTTGGTGAGGGGTCTGTCATAGTCATTAATGATAGATTGTGCGATAGTTTGTTTGTGTTTCGCTCCGTCATCCTTTTGGTGAGGGGTCTGTCATAGTCATTAATGATAGATTGTGCGATAGTTTGTTTGTGTTTCGCTCCGTCATCCTTTTGGTGGGGGGTATGTCACTTGGATTGGTGTCAGATTGTGCGATAGTTGGGTTGTGTTTCGCTCCGTCATCCTTTTGGTGGGGGGTCTGTCACTTGGATTGGTGTCAGATTGTGCGATAGTTGGTTTGCGTTTCGCTCCGTCATCCTTTTGGTGGGGGGTCTATCGTAGTCATTAGCGATAGATTGTGCGATATTTGGTTTGCGTTTCGCTCCGTCATCCTTTTGGTGGGGGTCTATCATAGTCATTAATGATAGATTGTGCGATAGTTTGTCTGTGTTTCGCTCCGTCATCCTTTTGGTGAGGGGTCTGTCATAGTCATTAATGATAGATTGTGCGATAGTTTGTTTGTGTTTCGCTCTGTCATCCTTTTGGTGAGGGGTCTGTCATAGTCATTGGTGTCAGATTGTGCGATAGTTGGTTTGCGTTTCGCTCCGTCATCCTTTTGGTGGAGGGGTCTGTCATAGTCATTAATGTTAATTTGTGCGAGTTTTTTTGCTATATCCTCCTTTTGGTGGTGGTAGTCGTGTGTGTTTCAGTCCATCATCCTTTTGGTGATGATGACCTTTTGCCCATTACTTACAGTTTACTCAGAGGTATACCTCATCCAACATTTTCAATACCCGAACATTTACTTTCTTTTCGGACAAATTCAGGGTTTTCTTTGTATCTAATTAACTTCTACCTTGGAAGAATGGACTCCATAGCAGTTCATCCTACCCGGTTTAAGCCAATTAGATAGGGGCATCTGTCATACCCTAAATTTATCCTACCTGTATATAAACTTCGTCTGTGTATCCGTCCACTAATAGTTATTCAGAAATTCAAAAATATAGGCCATGACCAAGGTTTTGAAATTTTTGTGGTCACGTACGCATTTTTTTCCAAGTGTGCATTAGAATTATGACTGGGCGAGCTTTGGTTTATGGGTTCTGAAAGTCAGTTACTTCAAGGAGTCTCTCTAAGACATCACATAAGAGTGTTTCAAAGAATAAATAAAGTGCAGACCACAGGATGGCCTTGATTGGTTTTAAGTTATTTAATTTTGAGGAAAGGGCATTGATAAAGGCATGAACATGTCATTTACGACCCAAGCTTCAGGTTACAAAATACTTCACGGTCACATGTTTTTTGAGGATCTAAGCTGATCATCGAAGAAATCTAAATTAAAGTGTCGTAGCAATTTAAGCAATGTGAAGATTAGTTCATGGATAGAAGGATATTCACCTGAGGATGTTGTTTGGATTCAGTACATTGACATATTACAAGCCACAAAGAAAATAAGTATTTCATCAGTTTGAGTTGTATTACATATTACAAGGGAAAGTTGCAAAAATAAGCCTCACTCTTCATTTACCCATCACACACATAAGCCAAATAGATATAAAAATCTATTCATGGAGCCATTACTACATCAATTAGGCCATCAAAACGTGTTCAAGTTGAAATGATAAACTGTCATTACAAGTTGATACAATAAATTTCCAAACAATTCCCTTATTAATGGAAGAGCATGAATCCCATCCTTTGATAATACTAAAACCTGAACATAATAATCAAAAGTTTCCCTATGAAAAATCAAAATACATGCTTCGACGTTAACCCAAAAGAACAATTCTTCAAAGAGCAGATTACTAGCATCCATGATTCAAGGAATGAAAAAGAAGAAAAAAACCAAGAGGATGCAAATTGAAAACAAACAAAGAGTAAGAAACCATGGCTACATTCAAGGCATAAATTTCCATTATAGGAACATGGCAAGCTTCGCGGGAAACATTGGCTTCAAAATCTCGTTTCATCTTCTACCTGGCGATTTTTCAATTCCACGGAACATTTGGAAGTTTCGGATTGCTTGCTTGAAGAGTAGAGACTTTAGTTCTTCTTCTGTTACTGCTAACTACATTCCTATAACATCATGCAGGGTGAAGATTCCGCGTTTGGAATATTGTAGCTTTGCTGATGGCAGTGCAATCAAGATAAATGATGGGAAAATTGGGCATGCAACAATTGCACATTGTGAAACTTCTCAAAATTCAGATGAAGTTCTCACCGACTTACTATTTCATGACATTGAAGAAGGCTCTGAACAAATGGAGGAGGTTAGAGAGTTGACAGTTCCTTAGATAGAAGACTCCCGTGAACAAGATTTTATACGACTTGACAAATCTATCAATGATGTTGAACAATCAGCTGTCAAATTACTTGCATCTAGGGCACTTACGACAGTTGAATTGAGAAAGAAATTACATAGCAAGAGATTCTCTCCTAATGCAGTGGAGGCAGTGATAAAAAAGCTCCTGAGACAAGGGTTCATCAATGATAAGTTGTATGCTGAATCGTTTTCTCAATCTAGATGGTCTTCGTCTACTTGGGGTCCAAGACAGATCAAACAAGCACTATTCAACAAGGGAGTCTATGATACAATACGGTATCAACGCAGAAGATAAAAGGACAGCAGGTCTTTATTTCATCTCTTGGTCACATCTTGTACGAAGAATTATGGTCTGCACAAGAGGAAAGAGGGGTTTGTAAGACCATAAATTATACGACGCAAACTGCAATAGCGCAGCGTAGCCTGCATAATGCTACAATTAATTTGCTACACTCACCAGAAACAGGGCAACATAAAAACCACCTGCAGCTCCCAACAAATTTTAATCCAACCGCAACAATAAGCATGGCCCTACAATGAATTGTAACGCAACATGATTGAAACCTCACTGTACAACAGAAAATACACATCCCACCACGTTGTGAGGTACCCAAAAAGGACAGCATCACAACAATAACAATGAAAATTTTTCCTAAACCTTCAGCAGGTCTGGGTACCGCGTACGACTCATCTCCAAACCTGCATAGTACCACAACCGAAATCCGTGTCATTTACGGCTTGCAGTGTGAAATAAGAGGATATAAAAAAAAAGAGGAAAAAAGTACCTTCTCACAGCAGATACCAAGGACTGGACCCCACACATATGAAAAGAGCGTACATCATAACCACACCTCCAGCCACGACCTGTAGAAGGACAGTCCATAGTGTGTTAGTCCATCACAGCCACCTCCAAATAACAAAAAAAAATCACGCATATGGCTACCTCAAACCGTCACGATTTCTTCTGTTCATGACCATTAAACCACGCACAAAGGGAACACCCACTCGCACAAAAACCAGTACCTGTGTATCGTACCACCAACCTTTGGCAACAAAATAGTGAACCGTGAATGATGCATCCATCACCATAGAAAAGGACAGTATTGGCCACAACAGAATTCTACAGCTCAGCATAACAAAATCACTACCTCCAAATGTTCAATCAGAATTCCTAAACTAACCTCTAACAGAATTTGGATTCATTTCCTATTCTACCCTCTCACTTTCTCCATATGTGGGGATTCGATACACAACTTAAAGGGGGCTCAACCTTTAAGTAAAGGGGTGAATCTTTTCTTTTTTAGAGACCGCAAAAGCCACCTTCTTCATCATGTATTATGAACCATCATCTGCTTTAACATCTAAACACCAACAAGATTCCTCCCATTTCACCTCCAACTAAACCCCAACCTTCTCTTCAAAAACGACTCAAACAGAAACATAAAACCAACTCTTCCTCTTCAACATTTCAAACCCAATCTTCTTCTTCTTCTTCGAAACTCCACCTTCAAACTTTCGAAACACCACCATCTTCTCATCTCCAAATCAAAATCCATATCAAACTTCAACCCACAATCACAAAAAAACCCTTTGACCGCCCTTTTCTTCTTCATTCATCCTTTAAAGACCAACCCATAGAACAACCATACACCTATCTTGATCATCAAACTCAACCGAAACAGAGAATGGAAAAGATGAAGAGAGAATATGAAAAAAACCAAATCGTAACCGGAGTCAAACCTGTTCTGAAACCGCGAGAAAAGTAAATCAAAGCTGGAAAGAGATTGAGTCTGAAATAACGCATTGAAGGTTGAGAAACAGAGAGCTTTCAGATTTGTTTTACGACTCTGTTGACAGGAATTCCAAGACTTTTTGGCTTGCGAATGAATAAAGCAATTGTTGGTCTGTTACTTCTCACTAGGTCTGGGTTTAGTGCGGTTGGGCCGTGAGGCCTATGTCATCTCTTGCTATCATTTTTGTTTACTGCAGTTTCTTAAGTGGATGATGGGCTTTAGAAAGCCCATGTGATTCCCCTTTTCTACTTAAAATTCATTTTTCAACCCCCTTTTTTTTTCTCTTCGATTTCTTTGTATTAATTTAGAGTTCGTTTAACATCCTTGCTTGTGATAACTCAAGGTTTTGTTAATAATTTCGTATAATATCTCTTTGGTTTTTATTATGTGATTTTCTTAAGTTTTTATTACATTTTTGTTGATGTCTCATTTAGTTTCTATTTTTTTTTCTTTTTTTCAATTTATCTAGACTTTGCATTTTCTTTTATGGTCGAAGACGATACTCCAAGTTATAGTTTGTCAAATCATTGACAAATAATAACAAACCCGAGACCAATTTTTTCAAAACTTTCATTTTCGTTTTTTATCCACTTTTTTTTCTTATTCTTTAGTCAATGATGACTTTAATCATTATTATCGGTCAAATTATTGATAGATGATAATTTAGTCGAGACTATTTCATTTTCGCTTCAAATCATTTTCCCGATCAAACTCTAAAGAAGGAGATTCTTGGAATCTAGCATTCCTTGGATCTTCGAGTGAATAATTCTCGAGGCACGCTCTTGAGTTGTTATTCACTCAATCTTTTGATTTTTTCAAACGATTTCTCAACATCCTTTTTCGATTAAAACTCCGAAAGAAGGAGATTCTTGGAATCTAGCATTCTTTGAATTTTCGAGTGAATAGTTCTCGAGGCACGCCCTTTGAGTTGTTATTCACTCAACCTTTCGACTTTGCCAAACTCAATCAATTTTCAATGTTCTCCTAAGTCGAATGCTCGTACGCATTCACAACCCACATTTCGTACACGCGTTCACAACTCCTCGTGGTTTTGATATTGGAGGCACCCTTAGGGACCAATGTCATCTCTCACAATCTAACCCTTGACACGTCGTCAAGTCAGTTCCATCTTCGATAAAATCCTCGACACGTCGTCGAGCTACTTCAAAACAACTTCCTCTTTGCCTCACATTCCGTTTTCGATTCGATCTTCTCACAATGTTTTTTTTAACCTACGAAAGAAGGATATTCTTAGAATCTAGCATTCTTTGAATATTCGAATAAGTAACTCTCAAGGCGCGCCCTTGAGTTGTTATTAGTTCATTCTTTCGATTTCAAAACATCCAACCCTTTATCTTCAACTTATTCAGTCAATTCCCGAAAGAACTGAGTTCATGGAATCTCGCATTCCTTGAATTCTTGAGTGACAAGCTCTTGAGACGCGCTCTTGGGTTGCTGGTCAGTCACTCTTTCGCCTCTTTCTCAAACTTAACTTTAACTCATTCAACTTCATCTTTTCGTGGTTGTTACCACGAACTACGACTGCTCTGATTCTTTATTCATTCTTGAATATAAGATACGTAGGCACAAGATTGCGATGATCTTGGCGAGCACACTTCTACCTTCCTCCATTATACCTTCCTTCATTATTCCGTCCACATTTTCCCATCCTTTCCTGTAGTCGAACTACAACGCTCTGATTTCTCATTCTCGTCCGAATGAGCATACGTAAGCACAAGGGCCCCAATCCTTGGCGAGCACCCTATCTTCTAACCACCCATCTCTCCTTAGCGTCTTTAATCTTTTAACCTACCAATTCTACCTTTATCAACGAGAAGAAAACAAGTAAACCTAAACAACACTCCCCACATTTACCTTAAGAGGTTCCCGTCGAGTACGACGGACGTGAGGGGTGCTAATACCTTCCCCTCACGTAACCGACTCCCGAACCCGGAACTTGGTTGCGACAACCCTGTTCCTATCCTTTCGCTTTAAGAGGTTTTCTCGATATTTTCCTCTCCCGTTTATTCGGGAAAAATAAAGTTCGGTGGCGACTCTGTCGAACCGCATTTCCGCGCCTTTCGCGCGAGGGTCATTTTCTCCGAAATGTCCCCGTGATATTTTCGAGGTGCGACAATGGTCTGAAACAAGATCCTAGAGCATGGTATGAAAGAATAAGAAATTTTCTTTTAGAAAATGATTTTTCCAGAGGAGAGGTTGATACTACTTTTTTTTGTAAGACATTTAAAAAATGATATTCTAGTTGTTCAAATTTATGTATATGATATCATATTTGGTTATGCTAATGGTACCTTATGCAAGGAGTTTTTTAAATCTATGTAGGAAGAGTTTCGATTTCCCACTTCTGGTGGAGGAGTAGGATATGGATGGTGCACCCCGTGTATTTGGTGCATCATCTGCCTCATAAATTCATGTTGTTTCTACTACATCTGCAATTTATGTTGTTATGGTTGACATAACATCTCAGGCTAAAAGTCATCATTCCCATTCCCACCCTAGACCCCTCTTGCATTTTCCTCTTTGTTCCTCATGGGAACCAGAATTGGTATTAATTGTTGACGTAGGACCCTAGGAGTGATGTTACTGATCTCTAGTACGGTGGTGCAGGGTGGACCTCCAAGGTTAGCACTTTAACATCCACGTCAGTTATAGAGTCCAAGATGAGTATAATAAAGTGAATATAAAAAAAGTGTACCTTGAATCTCATGTGGGCTAATTATATACATTGGATACTTTTAATTGTGTTATGCTTGATTGGGCCTTTAGCCGAATGAAAAACATTTTCCCTAAGACTTTCCAGATGTTTACTGGATGATAAGTCTTTCAAAGTTGTGTCCAACATCTGTCTATTGCATTCAACCATAGTGAGAAGTAGGAAGATCATGGAAAAATTACAGAAGTAATAGGGAACAAGCGAATTAAATGCCTTTCTCGCCGGTTTTCAGGGTGACCAGTTTTAGGCTTGAAAGTTAGGGCATGGGGCTTTCCCTTAGACCATTCAAGTGCACTTGAGTGTCTTTGTATTTCCAAGGCAAAATCTAGCCATTGATTTGTAACTTCCTATTTCCCAATGATCTGGCCCGTTGTTCACTTTTCTCTATATAAAGGTCTCATGACTTTCAGTAGAACTTTATTCACTCCTGAGAGTCAGTTTTTATTTATAAGAGTAATTCCCCCCTTCTCAGGAGAATTTCTTTGAGAGTTTTCCTTTCCCAAAAATAAAGCTTTCTATTCTCCATGTAACCTCTACCTTATTCGTTAGATTATACTCTCTTTAGGTACCCTTTTTACATTGAGCTAGTTTCACAATTTCTAGTATTTACTTTTACATCATGGCTAATATAAGTGACCATCCCATAAGTTTGTCTAGCGATTATGGGAGTAACGATTCTTCCTCTTTAGAAAGGGTAAAAATTTTGTATAGTTCATATTCTCATTGTTTAGTTAATAATCCTCCAGTTTCAATTGATATAAATATGTC